GCCGGGGCCCGCGCCCCGAGAGCACCCCCTGGGGCCGCCTGGCATCGCCGTTGAGTGCCACTGCGGGCACGGGGACCCTGGCTGGGCCTGACCGCACGTGGTCGCGAGCCTCCCCGCGGGCCACGGGATGGGGGACTCGCGCCCGCCAGGGGCCCCTGTGACCTTGGCCCGCCGCTGCCCCTCCCGCGGGTGGCCGGGGGATGCTGATCGGCCCAGCTCGGCCCAGGCCCGGGCCCGGCCCTTACTATGCTCTCTCTCTCTGACCCTTTGATAAGGCCGGAGGGGGCGGGCCGGGGGCGGGGGGCATGGTCTGCCACGCATCGATTCCCAGACGCGGGCACTAGCGGAAGCCGTTGCGAGGGCACTTTCGTGCCTCCGAGCGCTTTTTATTTTTGGAAAGCCCAAGTGGCACGCTCCGGAGCAGGTGCAGGAGAAGTAATGAAGCAGCCTGAGACTCGTGTCGCTCCTGCTCGTGTTTAATACGTCTTGTTGTCCTGGACTGTTTGTGAGACAAAAAAAGTCAAGTTCCTCTTTTTGCTACGTGCACCGAAAGTCAGCCTACAGGTAGAAACTGGTGGGATTTGCTAAGGCTAGGTAGCCTTTGGGTAGCCCACCCCAGTATTGTCTACCTAAGAGACCTTTGAATGACTTTGACTTCTGATCCAGGATGATCAAGTTCATAGGAAAGTGAAATCGAAAGGGACTGGAACCTCACGCACTTTTTGCAGCTTACCTCTGGACATGCACTTGGGAGCCTGCTCCACGATTTCTCGGGGAAAGACCGGTTGTTTAGTCTCTCATATAATTCGCAAACGTTTGGGGAGCAGGGGTCTCTCCAGTGTCTGGAGAGCACAGAAAAAAATGTCGGTTTGTTTTACTCAGATCTAATATTGGGGATCATTTAACTGCCTCGGGGGAAGTTTCGGTTTCACCTCATTAATCCCTCTTTTCAACCTCACTTTGTTGTACCAAAAAAAAATGTTCCCAGATGAATTTTTGGGGAGTTCTCGTTTAAATATAGAGGAGAACAAAAATCGGCAAACCTTCCGGGTTTAAACCTGAACGTCTCTATACAGGATCCTAACCCAGACTGTCCTCACCTGGGACTGTTAGCTGATTGCAAATGTTAGGTTGCAGAAAGACAGTTTGCCTGGCATCCGTCTAACTTGCGCCCAGGGGTGCCCTAGACAACTTAGGAGGGTGACAGTCGCCAAGAGTCACATTAAAACAAGTTCTACCACGCATGGGTTTGGATTTATGGCAGGCCCTGCCCGTGGACCTCTCATAGTGTCCCATGCCAGAGTAAACTGGGGCCCCCGACCATTGCCTTGCCTCCTAGCCCGTTGGCTTCCGGCACTGAGGCGGACTGCACAAAGAACCCTATCCAGCAGAAGAGGTTCAAAATCAATCATGTAAAAATAGCTTAATCCACCCTGTCACGTTTCATAAAGGCCAAGGACTGTGGTTCTTAGTGTTGCACTGTGGTTTTGCTCTTTTTTTTTACTTTTTAAATAAACAGCACCAGTTCAAAGGGTGCTGATTTCTGATCAGATATGGCAACTTTTAAAAACTAATGTGCTCTAGACGTTGCTGTGATGCTTGTTACACAAGAAACCGAACCCACTGCCTTCAAATCTATTCCCGTGGGGTTTCTGAGCCCGCTCCCCTCTGCCCCACCGAGGGGTGGGCAAGTTTGAACCACTGATAGCTAGCAGCCCTTGGCAGGCCCCAGGATGCCCGTTAGTCACTAAGAATTACTTTTTAAGATTTAGTGGAAATGGGAAATGGCAGGGTGTTTCTATGGTTACTCTTGTTGAGGGTGGTACAGGGTGTTGATGGTATTTTTTGAAGCCATGCTGTCATGAGAATGCTGTGGATTGCACCTCAGAGCAATTGGAGTTTCTCAGCAGGGACTGGCTGACTAATGGAGCACCCGGCCTGTGTGATGCCCGGTCCTGGTGTTACTGAACACCGAGTGTTTGTTCCTAAGCTATTTAGCCAGGTCTCTGTTTGTTTTCTCAGAACTGTTCCACTGCTGTGCCAAGGCCACGGGCCTGTTACTCTGTGAGGTTTGGAATTCCTGGAGAACTGCCTTTGTGAACAGCTGGAAATCATTTAAATTCGGCCCCAGCTTTCCATGTAAGTGTTCAGTTCATACTTAGGTTGCACGTTGATTTTTATTTTTTTTCAATCATACTGCCAAGACTTGGGACTGAACTTGCGCCCTCCTCGCAGTTTGCCTCGCTTCTGAGGAACGTCATCAGGAAACCATGACCACCTTTAGTCACAAGGAGCTTAACTGCCATTTCCTGGACGAAGGCTTCACGGCCAAGGACATCCTGGACCAGAAAATCAATGAAGTTTCTTCTTCAGTAAGTGTGTTATGGACCGGGCTGGGAGTACAGCCCAGGGGGGCACCGGGCAGATACTGGGGACCGTGGGACTCCCAGGTCTCAGTTGACCGTGGATTGCCCCGGAATAGTGCTGCTCCAAGCAGTGACTAGATGGAGAGACAGGCACTGAGGGTGGTGGGGAACCAGGAGGGTGATGCTTGTGAGCACCCCTCAGCCTGCATTCGCTCTTGTTCCAGGATGACAAAGACGCCTTCTATGTTGCGGACCTGGGAGACATCCTGAAGAAGCACCTCAGGTGGTTGAAGGCGCTTCCTCGGGTCACCCCCTTTTACGCAGTCAAGTGCAACGACAGCCGGGCCGTCGTCCAGACCCTCGCTGCCATAGGGACCGGGTTTGACTGTGCCAGCAAGGTAAGCCAGATCTGCAGGGCGCGGAGGGCTGTGCTCCCCTGGAGCAGAGAGGAGTTTCGGTTCTGGGGCAGTGGAGGTCAATGTAGGAGCCTGGCCTGGTGGGCTTCGCTTGGGCTGCTTAACCACACCCACCAAGCTGCTCCCCGGGAGAAAGGTGCCGCTTCTTGTGCTCACGGGGTCTCAGGAAGGCCCGGGGCGGTTGTACCCTGACCTGTGGGCCGGCTGTGAGTCAGAATCGACCCGCAGGCGCTGTGAGATGCTCATGTGGGCAGTGGCCCCTGCCCCTGTTTTTCTGTTGGATTCTTAGTGGCCACCCATGAACCAGAAGGTGACCCTGCTTCTCTTTCAGACGGAAATACAATTGGTGCAGAGTCTGGGCGTACCTCCAGAGAGGATAATTTATGCAAACCCTTGCAAACAAGTATCTCAAATTAAGTATGCTGCCAACAATGGGGTCCAGATGATGACCTTTGACAGTGAGGTCGAGCTGATGAAAGTCGCCAGGGCACATCCAAAGGCAAAGTGAGTGTTGTCATCGTCCGTCCATCCCCCCCACCCCAGGAACGGACAGTGGGTGGGGGTGGGCCATGTTCTGTTCTCCATCTTCATTCCCGTGTGATAGCTGTGTGCTGGCTCAGAGGCACACGCGGTAGACTTGCCACTGAGGACGGGGTGCCCTTCTGAAGCGTGCGTGCGTGCTCTGTCCTGCCGCCTCCCAGGTTGGTTTTGCGCATCGCCACGGATGACTCCAAAGCCGTGTGTCGCCTCAGCGTTAAGTTTGGAGCCACCCTCAGGACGAGCAGGGTCCTGTTGGAGCGGGCCAAAGAGCTGGATATCGACGTCATCGGTGTCAGGTGAGCCCTCAGATAGGATCACTGAGCTTTCTTGGAGATGTCTTCCCGGTGTGCTTTGAGACATGGCCAGACTCTCTAGCGCCTACACCCCCTCCCCCAGGGGACGGGTGAAGGGAGACTACGGACAGTGTAGGGTATGAAATAATAATGACAATATATGATTGGTCAAGGAGTCATCAGGGTGGGGGGAAGAAGGGGGGGGGGGAAGAGCTGATACCAAGGGCTCAAGTAGAAAGATACTGTTTTGGAAATGATCATGGCAACATGTACAAATATGCTTGCTACAGTTGATGTCTGGAATGTTTTAAGCGCCCCCCAATGAAATGCTTTTTAAGAACAAAGGCATGGTGGGAATCAGCCATGCCCCTTTCCTTCCCCTGGCCCCAGCTTCCACGTGGGGAGCGGCTGCACGGACCCGGAGACCTTTGTGCAGGCCATCTCGGATGCCCGCTGCGTCTTCGACATGGGGGTGAGTGCCGTGCGCGGCCACCCAGGGCCAGGCGCTTGCGTCCCTCCATCCCTCCGCCCCTCGGGCTTTTCCTGCTGTATGCCGTGGCACATCCGGCGGCTGAGAGTGTCTTCTTTGTTTCCTGGCTCTAGACTGAGGTTGGTTTCCACATGTGCCTCCTGGACATCGGGGGTGGCTTTCCTGGCTCGGAGGACGTGAAGCTTAAGTTTGAAGAGGTGGGTACTTTCTGACGAAACGAATCACTCCCACAATCTAAAGTTGAATGTTTTAATGTACCACGAGAGAATATGCAGATACAGGAGCCAACTTTTCCAGAAATTTGAGTAGTGGCTGATGACACTGAGGCAAGGTTAACGCTGTTTAGAATGAGCTTGCTGTGGAAATAGCAGAACTGCTGGCCTGGTTGCATGGCTCCTTCAAATGGGCCTTGCTCCACGTTGTAGCTGTTGCACGTGTAGTTACTTTGAAAGTCAAGATCAACCCTTGTGTGGTGCTAGAGTTCTTGAAACAGATACACATTACTCACATGTCTCAAGAATTACCTGAGGGAGGCAGGCAGGATAGAGTGATTACTTTAATCCTATTAGCATGGTTTGTTAAATAAATAAAAATGATATTCTGGCACCTTGATGCTTCAGTGGGTGGCAATAAAGTTGCAACCTTTTTTCTTCTTTTTCAATCCTCTTTATGTTTGAGAACACTTTGCGGTTGCAGATTAACTGTGCACAAAGTACCTAGCGTTCCCTTTGGCTCCCTGCACTGACTCGCTGTAGTTGTGTGACCCCACAAGGCAGGGCGTGACAGGTTTCTCCCTCAGTGCTGCTGGGGCATTTGTTAATCGCTAGCAGCTCTTTCTCTGCACAGCACCGACATCCTGCACTGATGGAGTGCAGTTTGTTGCAATTGAACCAACAGCTGTGCGTTGTTGCTAACAAAGTTTCCTTTCTGTTGGTCCTGTGGGTTTTGATAGTTGCAAAGTTCCTTGTGTCCATCTTAACAGTAGCATATCGAAGGACCGGAGTTCCCTGTGTGCTTTGTATTGTTCTCTGACCGATTGGAAGGAAGGTCTAACAACCTACTTCTGGAAGCGTCCTTGGAAACCCTGGCACACGTAGGCTCTCTGAGTCAGTGCTGCCCTGACGTCAACTTGATTACACACTGTGGGCATGGAGGAGATAAGGAGAGGGCAGCCGAATGAAACCTGGTGGGGGGGGGGGGCTGTGCAGACTGGCTTGCAGGGAGATGTTTGCTTTCGTTACTTGATTTGATAACCTCCCTGAGAGCCCCAAACATTTTCATGGCTTCCTGGGCCACAGCGCCATCATCTTTGCCAAGGAGGGCCGACTCCCGTCTATGTCCTTCTCAGATCACCAGTGTCATCAACCCGGCCTTGGACAAGTACTTCCCGTCAGACTGTGGAGTAAGAATCATCGCCGAGCCCGGCAGATACTACGTCGCGTCTGCTTTCACCCTCGCTGTGAGCATCATTGCCAAGAAGCGTGTGCTGAAGGAGCAGGCGGGCTCAGACGGTACGTATGGACCCGGGCAGGATCATGGTTGTTTCGCCGAAGGTGGTTTGTCAAAAGGTAGTAATCAGGACCCTTCCTTTGCAGATGAAGACGAATCCAGTGAGCAGACCTTTATGTACTACGTGAACGACGGCGTATACGGATCGTTTAATTGCATCCTGTATGATCATGCACACGTGAAGCCCCTTCTGCAGAAGGTAACTTCTCAACTCCATGACCAGATGATGCCTGATCCTAACATAAAGGCAGGCCATTGTCACATACCTGTGCTTGCTCTCTGCCACAGAGACCCAAGCCAGATGAGAGGTTCTACTCGTCCAGCATATGGGGACCGACGTGTGACGGCCTGGACCGGATTGTGGAGCGCTGTGACCTGCCGGAAATGCACGTGGGCGACTGGATGCTATTTGAAAACATGGGCGCGTACACTGTGGCCGCAGCGTCCACTTTCAATGGTTTCCAGAGGCCGGCCATCTGCTACGTGATGTCGGGGCCCTCCTGGTCAGTAGCCATAACACCCTTTTGGTTTGTGCTTGAACTTCGCTGTTTGAGTTAGAAACTAATTTTAAAACAGTTACTTCTCTTCATACGTAGACTCTGAAGGGACTTTTCCAACGTTTATGGGGAAATTCTATTATCTGTTCCTTTTTGCCACGAACTTTTTGAAGCCCCCTTATGCACACACTATAGGAAATTTGGAGAAAAGGCAAAAGAGTCTCCCAATAAATTGGCTTTCTCCTTTACATATATATATTATATATATATTTTCCCCCCCTGATTATCCCGTGTATGGTATAGCCATTTTAGAAAACAGTGGTTTGGTATTTCCACATGACTAGACTATCGCAGTGCTGGTGTCTGGCCTTTGGGTTTCCCAGTTTCTGAAGAAACGGTGGCCAGGGTTACAAACTGGCCCTCGTGTACACTGCTGCTTCCCTTTGGACACCCTCGTGCTGGTGACATGGCGTCCTGAAGGTGCCACTTCTGTGTCCCGCAGGCAGCTCATGCAGCAGATCAGGAGCCACGACTTCCCGGCAGAGGTGGCGGAGCAGGACGTCAGCACACTGCCCGTGTCTTGCGCCTGGGAGAGTGGACTGAAGCGTCACCCGGCGACTTGTGCTCCAGCCGGCATCAATGTGTAGATGGCTGTAGCCGTTACCTGCAAGGTTAGCTTGAATCCAGGGACCTGGGGGACCGTTTAACTTAAAGACTGCTAGTTTCGAACCGTCTTTCCTGAGTAGGGTTGGCACAGCTGCACGAGGAAGGCTAACAGATGGGCTCACACTTACCCGTGTTCCTATGGAAACTATTTGAGTATTTGTTTTATATGCATTTCTATTTACTTTTCAACATGCGACTAAAGAGCGCGCCCAGCTGCTAGGCAAGCATTTGTCGCTTGCTCAGGGGCAGAGTGGGTCCAAGGCGTAGTGTTGTGACCTGTTTTAAAAATAAAGTTTCTTGAAATAATCCGTGGCTTTTAGAGTGCGTCTGTTCTCAACGGCTTGGCTTGCGTGTTCCCTTGTTGAGGCCGTCGAGGGCTCGTGGTCTTAGCTCACTGCAGTGCCTTTGCCCTGCTTTGAGGTTCTGTGTGAGGTGTGCTGTGGACCTCCACAGGGAGGGATGCAGTGTCCCCACACGCCCACTGCACCTGTCTGCTGCAGCTCAGCCCCTGTTCACTGCACGGACTCCCTGCCAGGACGTGCCCATCTTGGCTTCCCCTTGGGCTGGGTGCACGGTGTTAGAGGCTGCAGCGGGGCATTGTGGGCTGTCAGTGCATTCAATCATTCTGTGGTGTCACCTCCACTGGCTTCCTGTGTTCTTTTTTCTCTGCATTTGTGTTCCCCCTTTCTTACCCACCCCCACCCCCAGAAAAAAAGAAATGGCCGGCTCTCATACTCTGACCCCCAGAGTGGAGGGTGCTGCTTCCTGCCGTGGCGGCACAGGCGCCCCTTAGTAGGGCACTGGGACAGCCTCCGCAGCTTCGCTGGGAGGGGCGTGACCCAGAAGCAAACACTGCCGGGGGTCATTCTGACCCTGTATCAGAATAGGGTTTCCGAGGCTCTAAGTCCTGGCTGGAGGCGGCAGCCTCAAGTCTTGTGAGGAGTGGCTGGTGGGTGTGAACCTCGGACCCCAATAGCCCACCACTTCCTGGACCAGAGCAGCACCGAACTACAGGCCGTCCGACACTGCAGCCTGTAGATGGAGAGGAGGCGCCTCCCTGTACGTGTCTGAGGCTGCCAGCCTCGGCGCAGGGAGCTTCATCTGAGCAGCTGGTCTTTGGACCCCGGCTTTGTGCCCCATGCGCCTGCGGGAAAGGCTTACTCCAAACCCACTTCCGACTTGCAGTGGCTGGACTTCACGTAGGGCATCTGGTGGGTCTTATAAGCTGCTGCTTGGGGGAACAGCCCGGTGCTTAACCCACGGTGCTACCAGGGCTCACTACACGAAAGGTTGAGCCTCTGCCTTCAGCCCCGGAGCTCCTGGTGTTCGCTTCGCCAGGGGAGCTGAGGCGAGGAGGCTTCCTTGAGGGGCCGCCTTCCCGACACGAGCTCAGGGCTCTGACTTGGCGGTTTTCCCCTTGCTTTGGCTGCTTTCCGGGCCTGGCTTGGCTCACTCCACCGCCTGGCCTCATCTCCGGTGACTGACAGAAACCGATGCTTGAGACTTCTCAGAAACGGCAAAGAAAACAGGTTCCGACTGGAGCAGGCCTGGCAGGAAGGAACTGTCTGCTTTGAGCTCCGTCCTCACCTGGCGAGGACAACCTCCCTCAGCCCCTGTGTCTTGGGGGGGAGATGGGAAGTCCCTGATGCCGCCGCGGCCTCCGGGTCTGATGGGGGACAGGTGAGGCCACGTGTGCACTGTGAGCCAACCTGGGACCATCCTGACACACTGCAGAGCATTGAGCCTTAAACATGACAACCTTGGGGTTCGGGGGGCGGCGTCCCAGAGGGCTCCCCCCGGTGGTGCTGAACTCAAAGAGCAGAGACCGCACTGTTCAATGAGGAAGAACGCGG